GCCGCCCCCTCATCCAGAACCGAATGCAAACGATTCACGGGGGAACCCTTGCGAGTCTCGTTGATCTCGGAGGATCTCTGGCAGTTGCTTCCACTGGACGATTCGCAACCGGCGTATCGACTGACCTGAACGGTAAGGGCAATTCCCGCGTGCAACTGCAAGGAGCCACGGTATTGACTCAATGACATAGTGACCTATCTCAGCCCCGGAGGCAAGCCAGGTGACGTCTTGAAGGGCACATCCATCTGCGAAAAGAGTGCGTAGCACTGGCAAGAAGAAAGCCCTGATAGCTGCAGAGGGTGCTGACGCTTCGAAACAGTCGGAAAGACGCTCGCATTCACAACAGTCCAGTTCTACAACGGCAAGGGCCAGCTCGTTGCACGAGGCAGCCACACCAAGTGAGTCCGACCGTCATCCGTATTGACGAACTCGGTTAATACTGACTGTGAACACCAAGATACGTCGCGGGAACGTTGGGCCCGGATGGAGCCTTTGTGCCGCCACCGGAGTGGGCAGATGAGGTTGACTAGATCCGAGTCGGGCACATTGAGACTACATAATTTACTACGGAGATGGCATAGATCTACCTTGTACGTCATCGGGCTACCTTATAGAGCGGATAGAATTGAAAATCAGAGGCAGAATTAGAGCGATTAAACGTTCCTGCAGTTCGGCTGTCGGTCAGCCGACCGTTGAAATTCGGCGAAACGGCGAAAGGTGTGGCGATTGGTAGCTAGGGATGTGCAATAGTACTTCTCCATCATGTATGATATCGGGACTCTTCAGCTGCGCCTGTCGCGTCCAGCATCCCTCTGGGCTATCTAAGGTGGTGTATTTTCGGTCGAAGGAAAAGGCAATGGAAGGCGACAAGACGTCATTTTATGTATGTACTTAGTCAGGTCTAGGCGAGATCAGGGGTGGTGAAGACTGCATGTGATCAATGGGCCGTCGTCAAAACCCTCAATATTCGAGCAAGATGCAACATGTAGGCAACCGGCGGGGCAGCAAGATTCAACGACGCATGCATGTGCACTGCATGGAAGCAATGAATGGCAGCCTAACCAAGCAGGCACCCATTTAACGAGTGCAGATCACGGCTTTCCAGCTGCAATCATCTCATGCCGCTTGACTGAGAGCGCAAGCCTGGATGAGGCTC